GGCCTTAGGGGTTTAGGGTTCAGGGTTTAGGGTTCAGGGGGTTTAGGGTTTTAGGGGTGTCACTATGGACTCGAGGGCAGCCGAGACACCAGAACGACCTCGTCGCAGCCCTTCTTTGGTCTCTGTGGGGACGGAGACTACGATAGCTGCCACTCCGGAGACGAATGCCAAGGCCTCGGAATGCAGACCCGACGCCGTCGCCACTCCTGCACCCTAAACCTTAAGACCCCTAAACCCTAAACCCCTAAACCCCTAAACCCCTAAACCCTAAACCCTAGGGTATTATGATTTTGGGCATCTTCCTTAATTCCCTGTGTATTGGGCTCGCTAGGACCGCTAGGCCCACGGATGGAAGGTCGAGGGCTCTGGGCGTGGCGCTTTGGGCTCCTATATGTACTTGGAGGCCCAGGGGACTTAGTAAGCAGGTTATAAGTAGAGTTATAAGTACCTTAAATGGAGTTACCACAATTATAACCCGACTTATAACCGACTTATAACCGACTTACTAAGTCCCCTGGGCCTCTAAGTAAGGCTCTTTTAAAGGGTGCTATAGTTATAAGGGCTTTAGGCTTTTAGGGTCTAGGGTTTAGGGTTTAGGGTTTAGGGCTCTATAAGAATAAGGGCCATTTTAAGGGGGCATTCCCCCAAAAAACGAGCGAGACGAGCTCTGAACCCTCAACCCTGAGCCCCAAACTCAGAAAGAGCTCTAAAGCCCAAACCCAGAAACTCAAAGCCCTACACCCTAAACCCTAAACTCCCAAACCCAAAAAGCCTTAACCTCCAAAAAACCCCAAAACCAAAAAAAGAAACCCAAGCCCTGAGCCTGGCAGGCCAAGTTCTATGGCGGCGCAGCAGCAAAGAAGGCGAAGACCGAAGCGACCCTCGCCCGGGTTCTGTTTTTTGAACATCTTCGGGCTTTGGGACTCTATGTATATTATTATTGGGGCTTTAGGATTCTGGTTATATATATATATATATATACATACATATGTTTTTTGTTTTTGCTTTTGGGTTCTGGTTGTAGATATATTTGGGCTTTCGGGTTCTGTTATGTAATTATATTTGGGGCTTTAGGGTTTTGGGTTGTGATGTTTGGGGTTAGGGTTCTTGGGGTGTAAGGGTTCGGGTTTTGGGGTTTGGGTTCAGGGTTGAGGGATTACAAGCCAAAACTCCAAACACTATGGTTGAGGGCTCCTTGTTTGCCCCAACTCCTACGAAAGCCTGAGTTTGGTTAGTGTCAGAGTTTCGAGTACGGTCCAGGATTTTAGGGCTTCAGCAACGGCTTGAACATTAAGGTTGGTTTGTGTTCAGGATTTAGGGTCTGTGGGGTTAAGGTTTGTAATCAATCTGGATCGTCTTACCGAGCTGCATATGTATCCGCTTGCTGCAGTGCTTTGAAGGCCATGACAGGTTTTCCCTGCGATTAGCTCACTTCTTGATGACGACTGACAGAGTTTTAAGTCAATAGATGCAACCTCAGTCTGAGTCAGTCTAACAGCTTGTATTTCCTACGGCGAGTATATCAAGCTGCATGTGAATTTTCCGGGGCACTTAGACTTAGACTGTTGTTGAAGCCACAGAACCTAGTGCCAACTCGGAGTCGACATCATTGATGCTCATCGTTGAATACTTGCTGTCATCAACCCGGAGGAGCTAGAGGCGCGAGACCATCAACGTACCGGCATGTGGGACATGCAAGGACGATGTTCAAACTATCCTGGCTTTGCACGGCTCACACTGGGAGACTGTGGGATGACTCTTGTTGATCTGCTGAGCGACAGTTTCTGCCATGCCCTCTTGCAGAATACATATAACAAGACCGGGCTTATGCAAGTCAAACACAGGCCTCATAAGTTTATGCCCGGAAACAACTGCTGAGCTGAGCACGGGGGTAAGCGCAGCTGCCGACTCATAGAACCTAAGGTGCCTTTCTGTAGGTTCATCCCGTAAAGCTCGTAAGGCTTAGGGTCGCAAACAGAAAACCCCGACACCCGGGCCGCTTAAGTTTCAGTTTTCGCGGCTCAAAGTGTTGGTTTTTGACCTGTACTTGGAGGCCCAGGGGACTTAGTAAGTAGGTTATAAGTAGAGTTATAAGTCCCCTAAATGGAGTTACCCCAATTATAACCCTACTTATATTACTAAGTCCCCTGGACCCTAAACCCTAAACTCTAAACCCTAAACCTAAACCCGAAACCTAAGCCCTAAACCTCTTATAACCGACTTACTAAGTCCCCCGGGCCTCTAAGTAACCATAGACAGCGAGCCTCAGGTCTTGTTCATTAGACTGCTTCTTGCCCTGAAGCCCCAGCACCCTAATGTTTAGGGTTTAGGGTATAGGGTTCAGGGTTTAGGGTTTAGGCCCTAATGCCCTCCAACCGATGCTTGAACTTGTAGCCACGGACTCTAAACCCTCAGCCCTAAATGACAAATCCTTCAAGCTTCAAGGAATCATCAATCCTTCTGAAGCGGCGCTTACTTCAGGGATCTCATCATCCCCAGCCCATCGCAGCCCTCTCTTTCCACAATAACATATTACGCTTTAAGGGTTCAGGGGTCAGCAAATCCTAAGCCCTAAAGCTAAGGAAAGAGGACGCGTGAGAAGCATGAGCCTCTGCTTCGCAAAGAGCCGGTGAGGGCTTCTAGCGGATGTTCGGGGCCCCGTTTGGCAAGCTTAGGGTGTAGGGGTTTACAGTAGAAGCAGGAAGTATAGGTAATCCTCGCACTAATCATCCTTCATCCATGTTCCTCAATTGACTCGCTACTGCAAGGGCTGATTGTTTTGGGCTTCGCCAGGTGCGCAAGTTGCACGGGGAAGTGGGACTCCCTGGTCCTAGGTAGGCCTTTGGTCTAGGGTTTCGGGTTTAGGGATATTGTAGGGTTGTTGGGATACTTTAGGGTTTCGGGTTTAAGGATACTTTAAAGGATGAGATACTTTGGTCCAGGGCAGTCGTTGGTTCATGTAGGGGCCGTAGTGATTGCCTACACAGTTTGAGGGTTCCTTATTAGAACTATAATATAATGTACCCCAAAACCCTGCTCTGATTATTAAGGCCCCTATAATATTCCACGTTCGAGTTTGTTGAATAGGTAAAACTTGGTACCTTGTTGTCAATGCAGTTCGCGCATACCCCAAAGGGTCCATATATACCACCAGCATAGAATTTTAGGACCCTAGGATTCCGTCGCCATGTTGGGGAAGGTCTTTTGGTGCTTAGTACCATACTTGTATCATGCATGAACCCCTAGATAGTATCGGGGCATATATTTGGGTTTTGAGAGTCCTTGAATCCGAATGGGCCACGCGCGGCCGAAGTCTTGCATCGCAGTCGTGGGAGTGGGAGTAGGGAGTGGCAGTGGGCAGGCGGGTCTTGAAGTTTGATTCTTGTGTGGCATTCGGGGAGCTACACTTATAGGGTTTAGGCTTTAGGGTATACATCCGACGAGCTGTTTGCAATGTCCACCGCAGACGCTTAGACGGTAAGATGCAGGGCAGCAAGACCACCACACAGTGCCTACGGTAGAACCCTGAACTGAACCCAAAACCCTAAACCCAAACCCTAAATCCAAAGCACACGCTGGGAAGATTTGGGTCGTTCTATACATTTAGGGTTTAGGGTTTAGGGTTTAGGGTTTAGGGTTGGTAACTTCTACTATGGTGCAGCGCAGCACTCCAGTAGACGACATTCATATGCAGGGCTCCCTAAACCCGTGCCAAGCGTGCCCTCCAATGAGCGGCAAGCGCAAACGCGAGTCCGGGGCGAAGGAGGCGAAAGCGGAACCGCCGCCGAAATTCTGGGATGATCTCAGGCAGGAGATCGAGGGGGATAGGATCATGTGGGACTTTTAGGGGGTTCGGGGCCTTATCGGTTCAGGGTTTCAGGGCGCAGACGCTTCAGGTTTAGGGTTGTCATAAGGGCTTTAGGCTTTGGGATGTCAGGGTGCAAGGTTTTACTGGGTTCTTGTTACGGGATTTAATTTAAGTTACCATAATAAGGAAACCATATTATTTACTATAGATCCCTATCATGGTAACTTAAATTAAATCCCTTAACCCTAAACCCTAAACCCTAAACCCTAAACCCTAAACCCTGGCCCAGTTT